AACAGGGGAACTTAGCGTTAAGCAGAAGGCTCCCCGCCCCCCACCCGCAGCCTGCCCTGAACCAGTTTACAAGGCAGCGAGGGACACGTTGGAAAGGCTCAGCACGTTAGTCTCTGCTGCAAATCTAAGGGAAGAATTCGTGTTTACTGGAAGAGGGTGCTCTCTGGGTCACCCCACATCAGGTCACCTCAGTCCAGAGCTACTCCTCATCTGGAAACCCCCCACTGCCCCCGGGGCTCCCCAGGACAATGGCGGGGTCCTGAGGTGTGACCTGCCGTAAACTGGCAATTTCCTAGAAAGGAGACGTTTGCCCAGCGGATGCCCTGTGCCTTCCCCAAAGGCAGTTTCTAAGGCCAGAATCACTCAGGTAGGCAGCCGACCTGCAATTCGAGATAAATCTGGAGCAGGGACGGGCGAGTCTCGCCAGGCAGGCTAGTGAGACGCACACTGTCTTCTTTTATGGAGGTTCTGTCTGTCGCTCAAGTGCGACTCACCATGAGCCCGCAGCTGTCACCGCACAGGCAACAAGGCCTAAGTCAGGCTCGGAATAAAGGAGGGATAAGCGAGGGGTGCTCGGGGCTGCTTCTCTGCTGCCGTGGCCGGGGCTGAGCCGGGTTCCGGCGTCCACCCGACGTGTCCCCCGACGGGCAGAGCCGCGCGGGGAGCACAGCTGCGCTTCCTTACCAAGGACGGCGCTGGCCGACCGCGGGGTGAGAGCCGCTCACAGTGCCAGTGGGCCTGAGTGACCGGTGGGCACAGGCAGGGGCCGGGCCCTTTCCTGCCCCGCTACTGCGGCACCTCTGGTATCCACCTGGGGGCGCCAGTCCAGAGGGGTCAGCCCACCCGAGGGCGGTCTGGGCCTCTGTGGACCCTTAGGAAGCACTGCTCTCACTGGCCAAAGTGGGCATCAAACCTCTCGCCGCTACAGAAAGCTTAACTGGGGTCAAAACACACCATGCATTTGTTGGCAACCAGAGTTCCCCTGGAGACAGGCAGGGGCGAGCCGGCTCCTTGTCTGGTAGTTCCGGACCTGGGCGGGCGGGCAGGCCCGGTGGAGGACGACAGTATAGGGCCCCGGCCAGCTGAGCAGGGAGGGGCTGGGACTGAGAAACCAAAGGTGGGTGGGTCACGGACAGAATCGCCGCGGCGAGCGACGAGCGTCTCACACGCGGACAGCAGTACCGTGTGCAGTCCGGCCGAGCTCATCCGCCGGGGAAGGGGACGGAGCTCACGGTGACGCCCGGGTCGGGGAGACCGGGGGGCCAGGGGACGGAGCTCACGGTGACGCCCGGGT